AAATATTTTAACAAAAATTTTGTCACAAAAAAATAATATATAAATTTATCACAAAAGTTTAATAAAAAATATTATTATTTCAATACTAATCAATTTTGATTAAAATTAATCAAATCCGATTAAAATTAATCAAGCCCGATTAAAATTAATCATGCCCAAACTAATCTCAAGTTTTATTGAGTTTCACATGTTTTATAATGCAAAATTTTATTTTTTTAAATATTTCTTATTGATGTGGGATATATTTATAATACAAAATCTTATTCTCTTATGTGTTTTTTATCGATATGGTATGCATTGAATAGAGAAAATTGACAGTTTTTAGTGACGAAATATATTTTTTAGTGATAAATTATTTGGTCATCATTGAATGTGTAAAGTATATGTAACCAATATTAAAATTTTGTCATAATTGTAATGTATTATAGTGATATTTTTTATCGACAAAAGCTTTTTTTTTCTTTATGAACATTTTTCGGTGACAAAATACATTTTTTATGATGAATTTTTTTATTCATTATTAAATATATATGCATCTATAACTAATTTTTTAGATCTGTCACAATTGTGATAAGTTATAATGATGATTTTAAAATTCATCACAAATTTCTGTCACTAAAATTCATTTTTCTTGTAATGTTAGTTGTTGAAGAACTTACCGATTTAGCTGAACAGGCAATAGCCATTGCCCAGGGCAAACACCTTACTTCTTCTGATGATCCCTTGTCTTCTTCTGAAGATCCCCCGTAATCAGGTGAAACGCAGCTATCATGTAGTAAGCCCAGTAGATGCTTGACACCTGGATGATTCTCAATTTTTTCACTACAACGTCCTGGCATTATTCTGGAGAAGCAATTAATAGCCATATGCATGAAGTTCTGATCTGCTTCATTTGACATCTTAGTCATGTCAAACAACTTCATGAGTATAAAGAAAGGAAGTTGATTTTCAATTAGCAACAGATCCCGCATTACTGTTCTCAAAATAAAATGTGTAAGAAGATAGTCATCTTCTTTTCTGAATTCTTCCATGGCACTCTTACGGATAAGTTCAACGACAAAGCATCCATCAAAGAGCATCATCTCTACAAATTGATCTTCTCCATCCTTCTGATCCGAGGGTTCCGAATAATATTTGAGAGCTTCTTCTTTAAGACCTTCCAAGGTCTCCACATATTCCTTCAGAGTCTTTTCTTTATTTCGGTCAAGGAGCATTTTTAGATAATGCTTTTTGTGCACTTCCATTGCCTTCAAGTGATCTTTACCACGGTGGTAAGGGCCAATGGAGATCACTTGAGGTTCATAGGCCTTTTCATTTATCTTTCGCAAATGATTAGGCACTTTGAAAATACTACACCTTAATGAGTCTGATGAAATATGACCGTGAAGCACTCGATCTATTTGAATGTAAAGAGCTTCACCACTTCCAACTGCCATCTCCAGCTTTAAAAAAAATAAAAAATAAAAATCAAATGACTGATGGGGGAAAAAATTAGAAAACAAACAGATTCACATTTTAACTCAAAAAAAAAAGAAAACAAATAGTATATTCAAAGTCCAAAAACTTCAGGTAATTCGAAGAGGCACTGTCATCATGGCCACCAGCATTATTGTTATGTCCTCCAAAAATTGTAAAATATCATCTTTAAAAATATTAATT